AGAGAAGAAGAAGAAGAAGAAGAAGAAGAAGAAGAAGAAGAAGAAGAAGAAGAAGAAGAAGAAGAAGAAGAAGAAGAAGAAGAAGAAGAAGAAGAAATCTAAAACACAGCACAGGGACTAACTTTGTTCTTTTATAAACCCTAAGATAAATGACGAGTGTTATAGAGCCTTAGTTAAATTTAGGGATGCCTTCATGATGTTCTTAAATTCGACAGATCCAGCACTTGTTGGAAAAGTTCAAGAGCGGTGAGGCACAGCTGGTGGAACCTTACGTCCACGGTAGTCTCATTTACAAGGAGCAGATGCAGGAGAAGGCGAGGATTAGGAATAACATAAGGAAACGAAGCCCACATAGCATTAGTGGATTGTTGAGAGAGGTAGGCTCGCTTGATGATTTATGAGTTCGTGGTAATTGTTTCATTATTTTATTTGATGTCCTGGTCCTTGGGTATTATATCTTTGTTGACACACATTATAATCATTCAGCAACGTTTTAAAGGGACAGCCTACTTTTGAGCCCATTTTCTTAATACTGAGAAAAATCGCTTGAAACAAGCATTCTTACATACCTTGGGTCGTGCTGATAAAGATTTAAACATAACATTTTGAAAATTAATTTCACGTTGCTAGGGAAACGGGGGCCATATTATATTTTTGTCAATTTGTGGTGGGTGGTGCATTTTTCTAATCTTTGGATTTTTTGTTTTTTTTAACGAGGAAGGGGGGGGGGGATTGCACTTTAAAAAAGAAGCATATTACATTACAATGTCACATTCGTAACAAAAAAAGTGTTATCCTAATTGTAGATCTTTTCAATGATGAGTACTGTAAAACAAGATACGTTATCAGCTAATAGTACAAATGCATTTTGAAAAAAAACAACTTAATAAAGCAACAAAACAAAAAGTTTCTGGTGCCTTGGTTTTGTGTTAAAACAGTTTGAATACCTATTTTGGTTTCTGAGAATGGCTTTCTGTAACTGCGCCACTTATTTCCCCAGGCTCGAAGGAAGATGAACCGCAGACAGCCTCGGAGCCGTCGGGAAATAGTGGACTCTTTAAAAGAAATGATGGAGTCTGATCTGGTGGAGTACTCAACCGATTTGCCGAAAGACAAACCCAAAGCAACCAAGAAAAAGCCAGAAAACCCCCCTGCACCCTCGTTAACCCCCGCTAGAAAAATGTCCAATCCATCGCCGAGAGAGGGTGCCATGAGTACTGAGAGGAAAGGCAGCCTCACAAAAGATCCACCAAAAACCGTTCGGTTTTCAAATGACACGGACAAATCTTCCCCCAGAAATATCAATCAGATGCTCACCGCACCATCAAACGACAGCCGAGGGAAACCTGTGTCGAAACCAGATTCTCGAAGGACTTCACTTCTGCCAGCAATAACAGAAACAAGGGAAACTTCAGCCTTGAATGGCAAGGTAGATGGAACTAGAAACGGAGAGAAAGGAATGAATTCAAGCTTCAAAAGTCCAAGAGCAAGCGACGGAGACACCTCACGTCTGGTCTCGGAGGCCGAGGAAGGACCGTCGAGCGCCACGTCGTCAAAGAGAGAGTACCAAAGAAAAGAAGTGTCCGCTGACTCCAGATCTCCTACACGGTTACCTCCTCTGGCTAAACCTGAGCTGAAAAAGCCTTCGCCTTCCTCGAAGTGGGATATGGCGCTACGGTAAGCACATTGTTGTCCCTCCACCACTTTGCACTGAAAGAATGGGTTTCCTCGAATTTTCAATAGTGATAAACAAGTTAGGAGACATTTAATTTTAATGAGTATTCCTTTCCATAAATCTCTAAGAATGTACTGCATAAGCCGTAGATGCAAGAAGAAAAGATTGTCACGGAGTAAAAGTTCAAGTAAAATTAAAATCTGCTTGATTTTTAATAAACAAGTGATAATCTTTTGCGTAGTGATTGACATAATTTTCCAAGGATCAGTAGCACACCGTTGGTGGGCAGCTACAACGAACAAACTCTGGCTAGTAGGTTGCAGTATCCAAGTAGAAAGACAATGGAGATACTCTTTAAAAAGACTACGCTTCTAGGAGATCGAAATCATGTCTTTTGTTTATTACTGGGAAGAGATTAATTAACTGTGAAACATAAAACAAAACTTTCTGAATTCCACGTATTCTTGTTCGGATGTCATATCCGGTGCATAATTGGTGAACATATTTTAAACCTGCCGAATGCGCAAAGGAAGCAACAATTGCTTATTATTGTTAAATACACTTTTAATGTTAGGTTGTTTTTCAGGTCCTAGTGAAATTTTTGCCCACGCATGGGTCTTTAAAGTTGTTTTATCCATTGTCTTCTCATTTTGGTTATACAACTTGTATTAGAACGTAATTTTAAAAAGTAGCATAATATAATACAAAGTGCTTCGTTCCTTATTTTCAAAACAAAACTCACATCCGACTTTCGCTATTATTGCTGCTTTTAACTAGGGTTACTGCGTCCGAAAAACGAGGAGGGATGATCAGATGAGGGGATGGGAGGGGTGGTGGTGGTGGAGCTTGTATAAGTCATCTTATTTATTTTCACTACGATGAACATGTCACCTTGCTATTGAAACAACAATGACATAACAATTTTAAACTCAGAGATATCACGTTCGACATAATTCTGCATATTATTGTTTTCCATTGTATTCCTGCGGCTTTAATATTTTACCCCCTTTCTTTGTATTTGATTAGTTTCGTTTTCTTTGCACAATATCGGTTACAATAACAGCAATTCCTTTCCTGGAGTTCCATTCAAAGTAGACGGAAACCGGACTCTCTCGTTGATGTCTATAAGTAATTTTGTAGGTTTTTACGCGACATATTTTTTTTTTCTTGAAAAACACAATATCAGATTTCGTTTCCACTCACACCTGGAATGCTCGTGACTTCAGATCTAGGCACGGTTTTCTCACAAGAATGTAGTTTAGTTAGTTTTAGTAGGAGTTTTTCGGCACCGCCAACATAATAGGTCATATAAGTGCGGAAGATTAGAGGTGTTACAAGAGAGTAACAAAAACACAAAAAAAGGAGGGGAGATAAGGATGATAGACGTTGGATACGAACGACGGAGCAAGCCACACCATTAGATCTATGTACATGCATATTGTAGATTTTGTTTAGAACTGTATTACTTTGTTACAGATACACCTTAGTGAGTAGTGTGGAATCGATAGCTGCAAAAGAACATGATGTAAGAGTCATTTCAATGAAGATAAATATAAATAGTGTGCTTTATGTATTATAAAATCTAACTCGGCTATTTTGCCGCGCAGTGCTTTTCTAACTCGGAAGCTATTACGTCATTTTGGAAACATTATCTATTTCATTTCCGCTGTTGTGTTCAACGACATTATGTTATTTTTAACCACACCGTATCATTAAAGTTTTGTTGCTAGCGTAAAAAATGCTTTATTGCCGAGATAAAAAAATAGTATGTTCTATCTATCTGTCTATCTGTCAGTCAGTCAGTCTGTCTATCTGTCTGTCTGTCTGTCTGTCTGTCTGTCTGTCTGTCTGTCTGTCTGTCTGTCT